TAATATAATATAATATAATATAATATAATATAATATAATATAATATAATATAATATAATATAATATAATATAATATAATATAATATAATATAATATAATATAATATAATATAATATAATATAATATAATATAATATAATATAATATAATATAATATAATATAATATAATATAATATAATATAATATAATATAATATAATATAATATAATATAATATAATATAATATAATATAATATAATATAATATAATATAATATAATATAATATAATATAATATAATATAATATAATATAATATAATATAATATAATATAATATAATATAATATAATATAATATAATATAATATAATATAATATAATATAATATAATATAATATAATATAATATAATATAATATAATATAATATAATATAATATAATATAATATAATATAATATAATATAATATAATATAATATAATATAATATAATATAATATAATATAATATAATATAATATAATATAATATAATATAATATAATATAATATAATATAATATAATATAATATAATATAATATAATATAAGTCGGAGAACGTATTGCATTAGTAACACAAGCCACATTAATAAATTTAACAACCACAATGTGGCGTTCTTTAATTAACCAAAGTAAGATCTAGTCATGTAAGAGGGAAAGCCCACTCACGCGACACGTCGCGCGCGACTGATCGCGAAGCATCGCGCGAGGCAATACTTTTGATGTTTTTAAATCTCAAAGCCCATTAATGCGGTTCTGTCGCGTGGTCATTTAAAAACATCAAAAGTATTGCCGCGCGCGATTAGTCGCGCGCGACATGTCGCGTGAGTGGGCTTTCCCTCTAACGCGGTTCTGTCGCGTGGTCACACGCGGCTGAAAATTAGAAATGACAAACCCGCGATTTTCTTGCCGCATGCGGCCAGCGTTATCATGGATACATATGGAGCATCACTCATACAAACGTCAAGTCGCGTGCGAAACGCCAGTTTAGGTTGGAGTTTCCTGTTAACTTTTCGACAGTTCCAGTGAAAAAATGTCCGACGGTTGTATTGATATAGATGAATTTATATCCGATATTCAAGATCGACCTCAAATATTGAACAGTTAATCGAAATTAAATAGCGACAAAAATATTTGTTCGGGAATCTGCGCTAGCATTCTGCAATATTTAAAGAACTTATCTTCGTGTTGACGTAAATCCTTGTATAATAAATTAAATGCGCTTTTTACATAAGGGTCTATAAATAATGGATGAACCCAGTACCTACGTCGTTTCAATTTTTTCCGCCGACGAACAGAATAAAACAACACCGTTACTACCTACTTCTTTCACCTCTATTTTGATATTGAACGTCTGTGTCGCTGCTTGTCCTCTGTTAAAAATCGCACCTAAAAATCGCACCTAAAAATCGCATGCGACAGGTCGCGCGCGACGTGTCGCGTGAGTGGGCTTTGAGGGAAAGCCCACTCGTACGACACGTCGCGCGCGACAGATCGCGAGGCATCGCGCGCGGCAATACTTTAGATGTTTTTAAATTACTAAGAGAAAAATCCCACTCACGCGACATGTCGCACGCGACTGATCGGGCGCAGCAATTCTTTTGATATTTTTAGAGGGAAAGCCCACTCATGCGACACGTCGCGCACGACTGACCCCGAGGCATCGCACGCGACAATACCTTAGAGGTAAAACCCACTCACGCGACATGTCGCGCGCGACTGATCGCACGCGGCAGTACTTTTGATGTTTTTAAATGACTCAAAGCCCATTAACGCGGTTCTGTCGCGTGGTCATTTAAAAACATCAAAAGTATTGCCGCGCGCGATCAGTCGCACGCGGTGGGCTTTCCCTCTTAGATGTTTTTAAATGACTCAAAGTCCATTAACGCGGTTCTGTCGCGTAGTCGCACGCTGCTGAAAATTAGAAATGACAAACCCGCGATTTTTCTGCCGCACGCGGCCAGCTTTGTCATGGATACATATGGAGCATCACTCATACAAACGTCAAGTCGCGTGCGAAACCTCAGAGTAAGTAAGTAGTAAAGAGAGGACAGTAAACAATGTTTGTGTCGCCATGATAATATGGTCGAGAATTCTAATTAGAGAGAAATAGATTAATATATCTATCTCTTTCTTTGTATTTGTCAGTTTTACAGAGCTTTTCTCAGACAATTATTCCAGTGTTTAATTTAAATTTGTTCGTGTTGTGGTGTTAAAAGTAATTGTTATTAATATTATATTCATAAGAAAAAAGTCATATTTTGTTTTCACTTCATTAAAAATGCACCTACCCACCTTTTTAAACATTTTATTTTATATTCTATTTGGTCAACATTTTCGCATTTAAAATGACCCAGCGAAATTGTTTTACGGTACGCTACTGCTGAGAATTCTAAAACGAGTGAGAAAGCCTTCATTAGAAAGAGAGATACTGATCATATGATAGCGAGATTAATATTGTATAACTTTATGCAGTGGTGGCTTATCTGCTATTATATTATCTAAGTGCGAAACGCCAGTTTAGGTTGGAGTTTCCTGTTAACTTTTCGACAGTTCCAGTGAAAAAATGTCCGACAGTTGTATTGATATAGATGAATTTATTTTCGATATTCAAGACCGACCTCAAATATTGAACAGTTAATTGAAATAAAATAGCGACCAAAATATTTGTTCGGGAATCTGCGCTAGCATTCTGCAATATTTGAATAACTTATCTTCGTGTTGACGTAAATCCATATAATAAATTAAATGCGCCTTTTACATTAGGGTCTATAAATAATGGATGAACACAGTACCTACGTCGTTTTAATTTTTCCCGCCGACGAACAGAATAAAACAACACCGTTGCTACTTCTTCCACCTCTATTTTGATATTAAACGTCTGTGTCGCTGCTTGTCGTCTGTTAAAAATCGCACCTAAAAAATCGCATGCGGCAGGTCGCGCGCGACGTGTCGCGTGAGTGGGCTTTCCTTCTAGGTAACACAAATAGTAACCAACTTTTGTGACAAAGTAGGTATTTATTATTAATTGTTTTAGAACAAGAAAATGGCTTCGAAACATTAGAAATAATTTTTATATAGGAAGAAAAATATCTGTTCCCATTTTTGAGTTTGCACTCAACATTTTCAAAAAAGATACCATTGGTATTCGTTTGGAAAATAAGAACAAAAATTAATGCTACAAATAACGATCAAAAATTAAAAAATATTTGTCATGAATAGATTTTCAATCATTAATCGATAAGACTGTGAGTGTAGTTTTTTTTTTTAATAAATAATTTAGTCTAATTATATTGATTAAATTTATTTACAAGAACATGAGAGTGTAGTCGATATTTATACAACCTTTATTATCAGGTTTTAAAATTTCCCGCTGCGTTGTTTGATATCGATGAAAGTGCCACATAGTGGGTCAGATATTAACCGCGTTAAAGCTGGTCGTTGTTAAGCTTTGGCTTCTTATGAGCGTTTCCCAGCTTTATCTCCCTTATCTCTGGTGAGAACGTTGATGTACACTAATCTCGTGGCTACCCTTCTGGCTACTGGTAATCGGTACTGGTTTTATTAAATATTACTTATGTTGAAATACATTCAACATAACATTACATTCAGCTTTGCTGATTCCCAAATAATGTTAATCCCCTTTAACCGTTCCTGTAGCTTTTACTATCTCAGGTAGTTCTTCAACAGATAAATAAGTCAGCCACTCCTCAATGGTTAAAAAGTATTACGTCAATCTCAGGCTCCTTAGTCCGGTTGATCAGCTTTACTGCTTTATTAAGAGTCAAACGAACAACGTGCGTTTCTAGTGGTAAAAAGGGACGCTGTGCCCGCCATTATATAAAATGTAAATCAACTAGGCTTAAGTAATGAATTTCCAAGAAAAACAGGGTTATGATGGACAAGTAATGTTATTTTTAACAGAAACGGTATTTGTGAACAGGCTGTTATTTCTGTGTGTTTATAAAATAACAGACCTGTTAAAAATAAAACAGGTTGTCAATCATAACCCCCATAAGATAATTGTAAATAATGTAAAAAGTAGTTTAGTTGTCCTGGAGTTAAATTAAACTGATTTTTATTTGTTGTTAATCTATAAGACCTTATGGATCACACAGGTATTCAAACATTTTTTATTAATACAGTCCACCATTAGTGATGTGATCAAGTCGGCCCTATTTATCTGTAACCAGAAATACTGTTTAAATATGTAGTACATCGGTGTGACCGCTACAAGTTAAAAAGTTAAATATTTGTCACTTACGCTAGTTCCATGGCTTTAAAGTTATTGTACATAAAATCCAAAGCAAGTCCAATTCCCATTTTATTATTGTAATAGACTGAATTAAAAACAATAGCAAAATCTTGTTGTCGAATAGGAGAAGTGGTCACTAATGTCAAATTTAAATAACTAAAATTTAAATTTTATTTATTTATAAGAACAAAACTAACTAGAACAATAATAGAACATTTAAAAAAACTGATATTGTTTAGCCAGATTTGACAATATACAGCTTGTCCCAAAATTCTGTATACATAGAGTGTATATTGATAAGATCAAAATAAGACAATTAAGGAGGTCCTTTCGCCACCAATGTTAAATAAAAAATATTAGATTATGACTAAAATTAATTTTTTTCTAATAGTAGATGTCCTTATTTATCTAATAGTGAACTTTTAACTATACCTTACCGTGCAAATTTTTGAGAATTTTTTTTTTTTTAAATGTGTGTTTGTACAGTGTCTTATGAGAAAGTAAGACTTCAACAACAATTTTCGAATTATAATTAATTTTACTATTATTTATTGATTAGATGGAGTAGAAAAAAACTAAAAATAAGGTTTTTGAAATATTTAGGTTTTGTTTTTTACAATAAAATATATAGGTTACCGTGGAATTTATTGAGAAATTATTACTAAAAAATCACAAAAAATTTTCAACTTGGTTACTTGAAAATTTTTTGTGATAAATAACATCGTATTTTTTTTGAAGGCCGTCCCTGTTACTTCAATTTTTTTATGGAGAGCTGTATTTATTTGTAACATTTTTTGTATCTTGCAAAAAACATGTATCTCTAAAAAATTTTATGGGCGGATAGTCTAGACTGCACAGAATCCCGATAGTACGTAAACCGATTTTCTATTGTGTTGGAACAAACTTTACAGGTTTAGTTAGTAACAGTTTTCAAATATACCTGATTATAAGTTACATAATAAATTTAAAGTAATCCTTTCGCCAATAAGTGAAATGAACAAGGAGCATTATTGGGCTGTAATTTTTTTACGACCTCAAACGTGGCTTAATCCGTAAAGACTGTTTTGAGCAAATCTATCGAATGCTTGGTGACAAGTCGTATTCCTTTACTACTGTACAGCGGTGGTACAATGCATTTCGATGTGGTCGACTTTCCTTAAATTACAGTGTTCGAGTTCAAAAAACCATAGTTACAGAAAATATATTGATCTTATTCGGAACATTAATAAAGAGGACCTCTACATTACTGTCAAAGACATTTAAGTAACTTTAAAGATTGATGTGATAGCAATTAGTAATATTTTACAAAAACATTTAAAAGACTGTATAGAAAAACAAATAAATACAATTTAAAAAATACTTCCCCCTTAAGTAAATTATCATCTCTCATACATCCTAAAGCTGCCAATATATTTATTTTTTCAGATGAGGTTGCCTTTGTTAATTCATTCATTAAAAAATTATAATCTTCTTCCATGTCGTCACTATTCGCCAAACCATAACACAAAATCAGGTAATACATATTAGCAGGTATTGGGCTAAAATGGTCAGCAAAATACATTTATTAATAATAATGAAAGTAGACATTTGGCAACAAAATTAAAATTCTCTAAATTTATTGGTACACACGGGATATAGAAAACATAAAATTTTCAAATTTTCTATTTCTTCGGCCTCCGGTGATATCTGAACCCGATGAACGGTAAAATTTTGTTAAAATACTTTGTAAGGAAGTTTGTTCCATATTATATAAACGTCTTTTACAAATATTGAAATACCCGGTAGTAGCTTCTTTGCGATATTAACTAATGAATCACACTTTTTTGTTTGTTTCTTTATCGCCGCCAGCATGCTGCCGTCAGAACACGATTTTGTGTTTTTGATCACTTTGAGGAATTTTTTGTGGATGGCGAGCGCAAAGTATTTGGAAAAGACGTTCATATAATAAGGAACGAACTTCCTTACAGGTAAGTCATTTGTTCCATTTATTACATTTCACTGGTATTTTCCAAATACTTGAAACACCCGTTAGACGTTCAAATAATAAATTCAAAGCGATTTTGGCAACTAGTTCATTAACATTGAAACGAAAATAAAGACATTATTTTTTATTTCTGCACATTCCTGTTGAATTATCTAAAATAAGTGATTTAATATAAGTAAATAATCTTAGGGGCATAAATTCATTTTTATATCTGAAGACGAATTGATAAATATTTAACGTATAGTTTATTTGGCATTCCTCAACAAGGTTAGTGCAACATCATTGTGCTGAGACGCAAGTAGTGTGCTATAAAATTTTCCAAAACAGGAAGATTTTTCAGTCCGCCCCTGCTCTATACGCTTTGGACGTTGACACGTCTTGTACAGTGGCTTTTAAAAATTATTAATGTTCATGCCACGTTTTTCGAGCACCGATTTTAGCCAGCGAATGTTTGTGTGGTAGTGGTGGTGGTTGTATTATAAGGTGAGTTTACAGTAAAAAATAAAAAATCTGCTTGAGATTCTCGATAGTGCTCGGTACGTTTAATTGCTGCGTTTGAAAAATACCTCGTTTTGACTGTTTAAGGTGATTACAGCACCCCCTTATAATTTTCGAACAAGGATATCTCAAAAAGTAATTTTTTTAGAAAATTTAAATTTGGGAAAAATAAATTAGGCAATAATATCTAAAATATGCATATTTTTTAAAGTTTTAATTCCTTTCAGTTTCCGAGAAAAAAATCAAAGGGCTTTAAATTTTAAAATATCATAATGAAAATAAATACGTTCCTCAACAGCACTATTCTTAATATAATCCCCAAATTTAAGCTCTTAATCTCTTCTTAATGATTTTTTAAAATTCGCCGAAATTAGTGGATAAAACGCCTCGTTAAGTGCTTCTTTCTAGTGTAACGCATCTGTAAGTATCGTATCGTACACTCTGAGTCATCATTCGTTTCTTGCAACGATTTACAACAGTTTACACCAGTTTAAATCAGAAAATAGCACTTAATAAGGTGTTTTAGCTACTAATTTCGGCGAATTTTAAAAAATCATTAACAAAAGATCAAGAGCTTAAATTTAGGGATTATATTAAGAATTCTGCTGTTGAGGAATGCATTTATTTTCATTATCATATTTCAAAATTTAAAGCCCTTTGATTTTTTTTCTCGGAAACTGGAAGGAATTAAAACTTTAAAATATATGCATATTCTAGATACTATTACCTAATATATTTTGTCAAAATTTTAATTTTTTAAAAAAATTACTTTTTGAGATATCCTTGTCCGAAAATTATAAGGGGGTGCTGTAATCACCTTAAAACAGGCTTTGTGGTAAAAACCTATACCACTTGTTTATATTTTATATAACCCAGTTTGTTTTTTCTTCTTATACCACTTGTCAATATTTTGTGAATCCCAATTTTTGTGGTTATATCTTATACCACTTGTATATACTCGTATTCTATATAACAGGCTTTTTGTGGTTAAAAACTTATACCACTTGTCAATATTTTGGGCAGCACAATTTTTGTAAATAAAACTTATATCACTCGTGTATAAATGTTGTATATCCGTAGATTGTACAAACCGTAGATAGAACATAAGACACTGCGCATAATCCCACTTCGAAATTACTCACATTGACCAAACATCACATGTCAGAGCATTGTTCGTCCAAATTTAATGTGTCAACGAGAATTAATTTGTTATTTTAGTGACTTAAATTTTGGAAAATAACGTTTGAAATGCCAAGATGTGTTGTAAAAAGCTGTATTTATAATAAAAATGCGAAGTGTCACGGCGATAAAGGAAACTTACATTTATTTCGGTGAGTTATTTAATTTTTAAAGATTCTATCGACAGCTATATTTGTTTAATTGAAAATAAACAGAACCGGACTTGGACATTGGTACATGGTATAAGTAGCACATTTAATAAAGGTTATTATTACAAACGGTTTAGTATTTCTTGTTTTATGGGGAATCTTTTTTTCAGGAAGTGGAAAGAGTAGCATGCAATCAAATATAAAAATATTAATTTCATTACCAATTTATTCGTTTCAAACTTCACAACTGGTTTTTATTGTTTTTTCAAACTATTTATTTAGTATTTCTTTATAATAATATGGGATCGATCCATTTAATTTATATTTTGTTTAAAGGTTATATATAAGTTAATTTTCTTTAATATAAATACTCCCTCTTTATACAAGGTGATCTAACGAAAACTTGATATATGGGTTTTAGGTATTAATATCATGAATGTTAAAAACGCTCGGACAGATCGATTTTTGTTTGATCGTATTAACTGTCATACGTCATTCCCCTCCACTTCGTTTCTCTAACCACTGCACTCTAAACGGGGAAAGTACCAAGTATGACAAGTTCAAAAAAACTGTCATGGACTCGTTGGGCAAGTCACACTAGAGTGGTTAATTCTATATTTGACAATCTCCCCGCCATAATAAGATTATAGAAAATATTTCATCTGGTGAAAATTCAAGTGCAAATTCGAGTCAAATGATTGATGCTGGTGTAATTTCAACATATATAAAATCTTTTAGTTATTCAAATTTTATCTGATTATTTACGCAAAGTCGATATAAGTATATTAGCAGCAGTTTCCTTAATTAAATTAACCAGAAATTATTTTAAATCAGTGAGAAATGACAAATCGTTCAACAGCTTTGAAGAAAAGGCTAAAGAAATTTCAAGTAAGTATGACTTGTCCAATGAGTTCACAAGAACAAGATCAAAGAAGGTGAAACTTTTTCACGATGAAGACATCTCTGAGCACATTGAAAATTGTGCTAGGAAAAATTTTGAAATTTCTGTATTTTTTTTTGTACTGGATACATTTATTCAAACACTAACACAGAGATTTGATGACTTTTTCTGATCGCAAACAAATTTTCATGCTTCCAGGCGGAAAATATAGCTGTTTCTGAAGATAATAACAAATCTTTGTATGATTTACGTATTTTTTATTAATCTTCTATCCAACTGGAAATAGTTAATGAACACAAATCGTTTTGTAGTCTATTAACTAAAATAAATAAGGAATATGGGATAAAATCTGAAGAAATATACCCTTTCTTAATTTCCAAAAAACTGGAATCAGTCTTCCCTAATTTATGCAAAATATACCAAATTTCTTCTTTAATTGCTACAAACACTGCAACAGGCGAAAGATGTAGAAATATTAAATTTTATAATTTTATATTAGATCGACTATGTTATTGTCTGAGGACATATTGACAAAAGTAGCATTACTGAGTAGGCCATGCGTCTAATATTGATTTTCAATCTGTAATAGATAAATTTAAGACCAAGAAGAATTATTTTGTAAAAGCAATTAGTTTTATAGAGTATGTGACGAAGTCACTAAATTTTATTTTTAATTCATTTCAAAAATGTATATTTTAATTAATTTTCGTGAAGGTACGCTTTAAAGATCCCCCGTATGTTGAATTTCCTAGTCATTGCCGATCCAGAACGGCTGAGTGAGCCCCCGTAGAGAAAAACATTTTAATTTGTACTGTAAAATCATGTTCGTATTAAAACACTGAATTTTATACAAATTATCAAAAAATATTTGCGAAGGTGTGCATGGGTCATTTTTTGTACCTATTAGTAGTAAATAGTCCAAGGACTGGTGGAGGCTTCTCCCACTCTGAACTGGTCGACGTTCAGCGTCATAGCTGAAAAGGCATAAGTACGAGGGCGGCGAATATTACAAGATCTCGCTTCTAGACCATCGTAGTGTTCAGTAATTTTCTTTAGCCAAAGCTTTTCACCGTGATAGTGATATCAAGTTAGTAAACCATTTAGCTCCCAGCACTCCCGATTATTAACCAAGGTAGGCCTTTCAACATAATTTGTTCTTTTCTCCTATGCGAAATTGCCGTTCTTGTTTCGCCCTCTAGTTAAACATTTAATTTTTTATAATTATTTAACTTTGTCAAAACTCTCTTGGTTGAGCCATTCGCGGATCTCCTGGATAGGTTCTGATCCGGAAAGCTTTGCAATCCCGCCCAATAAAACATTCAATTTTTTCAAATTAAATTGACGCGATCATTTTCTTTCTTTCAAATTAAATTATCGCGATCTAGTGTTGTAAAACCTCTTGGTTGAGCCACTTGTGGATCTCCTGAGTGGCCTCGATTCCTGGAAATTTTACAACCGTCCGTCCCGTATAGCATTTTTCTCTGTCTATAATAATATTTTTGTAAAAGCCGAACGAGAATCTCAAAAATTCGCTATCATCTTGCAAACTAGATTTTGTTTTAACTCTTAGACGAGCCGCCTTTGATCGAATGCCCAGCGTAATGCATTAATTCTGTTCCTCATAAAATTTTATTTCTCATATACCCGAGTGTCGTAAATTTCGATACAGTTTACTTTTACTTGTTTAGATTCCTATTTTTTGTAAGATAATCGCCTGCTTTATTTCAACTTATTTGTTTTTGAAAATTAGTTTTCCGTAAAGTGAATTTATTTTCCGTATACAGGGTGGAGCATAATTTCCTCCTGGATTTTGAACCGATTATTTAA